GCCGGTATACCGAGCCCTTGCTACCTTTACGTTGATGATCATCGAGTTTGTGAGCCGCACGGGCGTACGATACAATCGGGTTGCCAGAAGGTTTGTGTTCTGGTGTAAATCCAGCTAGCTCCAACGGTCTTCTGTGTGCACATACCACATTGGGTGAACTGTGGACAAGCCAGAATAATAGGTGCGGCAGTCTCTGTATCGTCATTGCGACTTTGATCGACACTCAGGTGGGGACAGTAAAGAATGGCGGTGTGTTCGATGCGAACAGCTGCGTGTGGACACAAGGAACATGTATTAGCTAAATAACATGCAACTAATGACAAATATTAGCACGGCCATCGACGAAGTAGGGAACGAATTGCGGTGAGGTAATTAGATGGCTCCTCAAATCACTGTTCAAGTGTACGTGCCTTCGTAACTAGCCTTCAAGGCCAGCTCTTGTAAGCATGTGGTTAGTGGCAGGCATTTCTGGAGGTAGGTTGTCACGTATTTTAGCATGCAAGGACAAAAATCGGTTGGAAGTATCAGACAGTTCTTGGAACGTTCCAGTGTCGCTCATTCAGAAGCTGGATGAATTAGCTGCAAAGGAAGGCAAATTTCCACTTATGAGACTGTGGAGTGTAGCATGTCGACTGGGGATATAGATAGCTCTCAGATTTTGGTGCTAAATGGAAAGTATTGCTAACTTATCCAGAAAGTTAGGTGAGTCACAGAAAGTAGAGGTCCGAAGCAAGTAGAAACAAGCGATTGGAGAGAAATTTGAGATGCACAGCGATACCATTGAGTTTCTGCAGTTTCACCGTACACCATGGTTCTAAGATTCCTGATGCAATTTATCCTACTGATATCCCCGCCACTTCATCGTGGCCGCTTACAATTTCCTTCATTCTCTCCATAAGCCCAACTAAGCCATGACGCCTCATAATGTTTTCATCTTCACATTGACTGGGCGGACCACAGCAATTCCGCTGCTTCACCAGTTCCATTGGTCTGACTCCTCATTTCATGTAATTTACCACTTTTCACCGCGTGCCAGAAAGGACGACTCCAGTTTTCTCCCCCTTGTCGTGTTTTTGCCCTCCATCCTCAAATTTCACGGGTCCGAGTGATTGATTCAACGGCGGCCAGTATTCACACAATGGAATTGAATTATCGAAAGCTATGACGTGCCCCTTGTGGAATATAGCAATCGAGTAAGTGAGTTCAGAGTACCAGTCCAAAACTTCCGAACTCCATTTAGGCATCCTATGGTCATAGCAATGCTAGAAATTATTCTATCAGACCTTACTGCCAGAGGTGTGGTTGCTTAAGTGGACGGCGAAATTCGGTGAGCTGCGAAAACATGAAAGTAGATTAGGATGGCTTTTTAGTTAAGCACATACGCCGCAAAATGTGACACTTTGGCAAAACGCTTTCACCCCACTCGTGAAGGTTTTTCAGCTAAGAGCATTGTGCGCCTGATGGGCCTCTCATTTACCTTAAATGTTCGATAATAGTTTAAAAACCTAATAAATGTGTTTCATTTCTCGACGTCTACCGCGGTTAGATCTGCCAGTTTAGACATGACCAAGTGTGTGCCGGATTATGCAAAATATTTGTTGGTTATCCGCTTTTCTGTACATCCCTCGGTATCCACAATTCGCTCCATTCATGCTCATATTTTGCAACATTGTGATCATACCTGACATTATGCAACCCAACGGTTGGGAATAATCCATATTATTATTACCGCAATACACTCATTGCAATAAAGGTTGGGATCCAGATGAAGCTCTGGCCTAAGGTGTTCCTGCGCCTACTTGGGAGGGCTCAAGATGGGCGAGACCTGTCGTGGGCCTTCGAACAATTTTGAGCGGCCTCATGGGTAGTGTAATATGTCTATACTAATTTCTATTATTGTGACCCACGGCAAAAGGTTGTGTATCAGATTTGACATGCATTTGGAATGATCATCAGGGGCAAGGCATGCAATTAAATGAACAGTTGCCAATGGTTCGTTCATTATCACCGTCGAAGACGGGGAGCGAAAACGAGGACATGACACAGAAAGAGATTGCGGATGTTTACGGACAGCTGTTGGATAACACGTCTAACCCGTGTGGTTGCGCTGAGGCAGATTAGTGTTTAAGGCGCTAACTCACTGACCAACCTCTGCACCTCGACTTTCGCAATCTAGGAATAAGCGTGCTGGCCTTCTTCGAATAACATGAAAACTTGAACCCTTAACCACGCTGCAACTAACCCTTTGTTCTTTTTATGTTTCTGAAGGTCCATTCGATGGATGGAATTATTTCTCCAATGACGGTTTTACATTTTTCAAGCTCTCGCACCTGTTGCAGAGGCGCATGCGTTCATGATGATATAGTGTCTTCGTTTACCATCACATTAGGCTATTATGAGTTGTCGAGACATCAATCAACGTCACACATAGATATGGGCTAGCAGTAATGACAAGTTGTCAAGGGGATATGATAAGGGACAGCAGTCAGCTCTATTTTCCGGTTAAGACTTTGCGCTTAATACCCTAATCCAGTTATGTGACTTCGTGCTTTCCCATGGGAAAGATATCTCATGAGGAGGCTGGTAATTCGCATGTAGATAGCTGAAATGCTGCATTATCGCCCTACTAGTCGTGCATATCTGGAACTGGGGATCATCCTCTTAGATGAACATTGGTTCAACACTACCTATGTATCAACCTGCCTTCGGCTATCATGCTCAACAAAAGGCGAGATTTACAATAACTCTATCGTACCGAAATTCGCGAAACAAACTTATTTAATGTTACGTCCCACGAATTTAACGCACAAAAATTTCCTTCAGTTATCCACCTGGGTAAAACATGTATCGGATATTTCATCGATAATAGCTCCAATTTGAAGGTAATCCTGGGACGTCCCAACATGCTTGAATTCGATTTCGTGCTTCATCTTATAAGTCGGTAAACACATGCTAATCACCGGTGGCCAGTGAGCTTGAAATTTTGTATAACTTAAATACAGTGCTATGGGCAGCTTCAAAACCCCCATGGTTTTGAGGAAATTATTTTCGGTTCACTTCTGGTGAGCTGGTTAAAATTTCGTGAAGTTAAACAACGTGAACCTCAAAATTTTGATCGCGTACTCGGAAGTCTCACAACAAGTATTTCGTCCCGAAGAACTTTGGTGTTTCAAGAGAATCAATCTGCGTTTGCGCGAAGTCTCTCTACTTGGCATGCTAGTGCGAAATGATTTTTTATTATAGTACCTGGTCCTGACGAATTGAGCTCGCTAAATGAACAGACCAACGCCCTTCAACGACAAAGAAATATAAACACGAGATATAAGCACACACGAATAACTGCATAGAATCACTCCATGAAAAATACCAAATAGATTTATATGTTGACAAACAACTTCACCATGCTTTACTTAGTCAATTTGGTTGCTCCGCCGACCTCAATACTAAATGGAGCATTGTGTGGGAATACGCTAGTGGACTTTTGCATGGGGCGGAGCTATCAGCGCTTAGGGACCTCGATTAAATCAATGAATCCTGAAGGAAACCTCGGTTGGCTTGGTCACATATTCCCATTCGAAGTTGTTCTTCAGTCGCTCGACAAATGTTCACCCCTTCACATCGAAAGGAACAGCGTAATACCTGGATGTTTATCTTTAAACCATTGAATTGCCCCAATGCATGATGAGATTTTTACAATAAGGGCATTCCAGGAGGGAATCCGAGGGATAAATCCCGCCCCGCGACGAAAGGTAGTGAATTGTGGAAAATAAAAATAAAATAACAAAGTCGAACGAACACAAACCACTCATCGATAAACTTCAAATAAAATGGGCTTGAATTCGGAATAGAGGAGGCCAAACATTCAGGCATATGAAGCCATGTATGAAGATATGCTAATAGTTACGGTAAAAGAGTTCTAGTTTCATCGAATAATGGTGGTGTTCGGCTGGGTCGGTTAGACTCTATTTTTTATTCCACGAGGGAGACTTGGAGAAGCTTAACTAAACTGATGAAATGTCAACAATCTTGGAATTTGGAAGAGCACCCTGAAACAGTTGCTGGATTTGTGGATGGCCGGCCAAGTTGCGGCAGAGGACTAGGGTAACTAATTTTAGTGGCGTTTGTTTGACGCATCGGATAACGTTTGTTATCGGCGAACGCACAAGGTTCAGGATTTTGCTCGAGGTTGTATGTTAATGCATGTATGTTAATGCATATTATCCCATTTGACATCTCCTCAAACTCACCTTGCTCTGCTTAGCTCATCCCACCCCAGCTTCCCAAACTGTGAACTTCGGCAATGCCCATTTTGGACGACATGGTTGCTGCTTCCCGCTCCCCGTGGCCTATGATCTACAACTACAGGATCCCTTAACAGACCAAGAAAACCTGCGACCTTATATCGGCTGCGATCCGCCTTGTTTCCTCAACCAGCCTGAAATGAATCCCGCTGCTCAAAAAAAACCTCATACTCCACCCCATATTCTTAAAAGTGACGTTCGTTACGGGGCTGTCGGGCCAGTGATGGCACGGCACTGCCATACCCAGTTTGATAGCACACCCGCAACTATTTCATTTCCTCTCCGGACCGTGCCCTCTCGTCCACTCGTTCCATTAACTGCAAAAAAACTGCAAGACAAAAAACCATCTCTGAAACAGCTTCCCTCGTACCCAATGAATTTTCGCCCAAAGCTTAACAGCCTGGTCTTCTGCTGCAATTTTGACTTGTCCCTTCCACAAGTTCAGATCCGTATACGATGTTCGGATGGCCCTATGCTATAGCAAGACGAACCCGTTCAACGTACCCCTTGCACCTGACTTTCCTGCAACAGTGTTACCAATGAGTCTCCTTAGTTTCAGATTACACTATATTTTTGAGATAAAACTTGCCATGTTCTCCCAAATCGAATTATCCCATCTCCATCTTCACTTTTGTACGTTGTGACCCCGGCCAATTACCAAACCACCCAAGGTCACTCGTGGTCAGCAATGGTTTTCAGTTTTAGTTCGCGTCAGCAGGCTGTCTTCGAACCATTCGGACTCGGTACCAAGCGTTCCTTACAAGCCGGGAAAGAAACCTACTATTACTGTTTCATCGACTACTCCCCAGTGCTTATGATATTGTCCTCTTTTCTCGCAATCCCCACTTCCCACAAACCCCCAGTCATGCTTCATTCTGACTATAAACGCATGATCATGCCGGACGGTATGCCACCCACAAGATGGGGATAAACATTGTTATAACATGTGGCCTAGAAGGTGGTCACATAAGATAGTTGCCCACTGCAAATATACAAAGCGCTGAAACGACTTGCCATCACTGTTTCGTAATCATCAGTTCTATGGACGGCCTACTTTAAGTTTACTTGATCGCCTTGGAATGAATCGGGTTGACGTTAAATTACGAGCCTTTTGAAAACGGGACTGGGATGAATGGGAGTCCGCTGGGCATATGGAGTAGCTATGGTCGGAATCGGAATCTTATGACGATGATCTTCGATAGAGCTTCCTGTGAACTCTCTGGAATTTATGTACATAAATATACCGCTCTTGTTACATCTAGAAAAATGACAGCAAGTGTGGATGTGTTATTATTCATGGTATTGAGGTTCCCGGTATGCAATACTGAGTGACGCGTAGGTTCGGCAATTTTCAATATTGAAATAAAGGATTGAATTCCAAATTTTACGATACTGTTTACACAAACGTTTGCAATCTATACAACAAAACACAATGCTTTACTTTTGTAGCGGCAACAATTGCACAAGTCGGTCACTGACCGGCTCGGTGCAGTGTCAACAACCGCACGTCGAACAACGGCAAGAGAAGTGTTGGCTCAAAAGTGTGGTTTGCGGTAGTTTCTTCCGGTGGTGCAATCACGCGGAACGAGAAAACAACAAGAGAAGTGTTGGCTCAAAAGTGTGGTTTGCGGTAGTTTCTTCCGGTGGTGCAATCACGCGGAACACATGAGAAAACAAGCCAAGGGGGCGCATTAAACGGGGCAAGAACGCGCACTGGTAAGAGGGCCAGTTACGCACATTCACACAGACACATGCTAATTTGCGGGTATCGAAGGGATCGGTAGTTGCAGCAAAGTGAATGGCGGATAAGGATAAGCAATGCGGTAATAGTTAAAAAGTGCATAGGCGGAGTAGGCAAATGAATGGGAGAATCGCCTAAGGTCAAGATTCTCCCATTCATTTGCCTACTCCGCCTATGCACTTTTTAACTATTACCGCATTGCTTATCCTTATCCGCCATTCACTTTGCTGCAACTACCGATCCCTTCGATACCCGCAAATTAGCATGTGTCTGTGTGAATGTGCGTAACTGGCCCTCTTACCAGTGCGCGTTCACACAGACACATGCTAATTTGCGGGTATCGAAGGGATCGGTAGTTGCAGCAAAGTGAATGGCGGATAAGGATAAGCAATGCGGTAATAGTTAAAAAGTGCATAGGCGGAGTAGGCAAATGAATGGGAGAATCGCCATAAGGTCAAGTTAGATTCAACACAGGGGCTGTCCGAGCTCACAACATTGCCTTGGTAGGATTTCGACAAGGTGCGGGGTCGCAATAATATGACAACGCAAGAGTGACAGAGTTGCTACAGGTTGTTGGAATAGCACCTCAGGGCTTATACAGAGCAACAGGTTACCAGGATAAACAACGTCAGAGCCAAAGAGTTGGTGGAAGATTTTGGTCATGTAGGGTTGTTAGTTGTCGCAAAACCATGCCAAGAATTCTGACAGTATAACTGATTGTTGCAAGAAATTCCGGGATGTGTCAGTCAGTGGGACGTGGTTATTTCATCTTCTGGTAGGCAGCCCTAATAGAGAGTCTGCGTTATGCAGAATGCCACTCACTTTGAGGAAAGGAAGCTGGCTGGCGAGGAGCAACGGTCACAATGAACGGTGGCTGCGGGGTAACAAGAGGCACCTCTTTGGAGTGCCATGATAAGAATGAAAGATAATGTAAAACTGGGGATGAGAAACGTTGTTTTCAACTTGTTTACTGCACCTCCCTGTGGCAGGTGAAAATTCACAAGAAACAGGAATTAACACTGACGTTAGAAGTAAAGGGAACCCTCCATAACTTAAATCTCATGCAGCTAGCAGCTGGAGTTCCGTAAAACCGATATTTATTGTTGTTGGCTGACGATATCAACGGAGTCCAAACAAATTAGGAAAAAGGGGGCATCACATCTGAAAGTTGAATCAAGCCAGTGGTTTCGCAAATTATTCTTCAAAATACTATGCACATCCTTATTAATTGAAGGAATATTGCCGCTTTACCAATGATTCAGAGCTTCTTCAGGCATAGACCAAAAGCCAACCTAGTCGGTGTCGGCAACCACAAGAGAAAAGCTGACTTACTGGACACGTTTCCGCAATTGAAGGCCTATCCGAAGGCGACCGGCGACAAGCAAAGCATGCGTGCTTCTATTGGGATGGCTGATATATGCACCGGGCTGTGGAATGCGATAAGACGAAATACAACGGCGCACTCTCGACAACCATTCGAAGTTTCTATCCTGTATTCTCATCAAGATGGCAAGTCACTATAATTTCAGCTTGCGCAATAACAAGAAAATCTGGCACTAAATATTTTATCCAATCTAAATAAAGTCAGGTTGTCAAACTATTTCAGCCAATTTAAACGAGGAGACTGCAGGCAGCCGCTAAAACTGGTAGACCGGCGTTTACCACTGGGGTAGCATAAGTTGAATTTAGGTATTTAGTACATTCATCTTATGGATTGACGGCAACAGCTACTATGAACCACCAAGACGCATACCAATACTACGTGTGTGGGTCGCGCAGTGAAGTAAGCAGTCACCCCCATTTCACCTCATTTTGCGTTTTCAAGGCCATGTGATTATAGTGTGTACCGGGTCTCCAGAGTAGGAGATCTTGGCGCACGTTTCAGCTGACATAAGCTAAAGCTTGAAGTGCCTAGCGTGAGACATTTTGCAGGGTCGGAACGCATACCGAGTGGCCAAATTTTGAAGAGATAACAGTTGCCTGGGGACAAAGCTCCATATGAACATGGGTACCAGAAAGCGGACTTCAGATGATTTAAGCGGAAGAGTCGCACGTTGGTAAAAAAGTACAGGCCTCAGAAGTAGAAAAGCTGATTAAACAGAAGTGAGCATCAATGAGTACCAGCCGAGAGCGATTGAGAGGAGATACCCCAGATTGAGGTTACGCCAAAGCCCTAGCAAGAAGATCATGTATACTATTATAGAAGTAAGGTATATAAAGGAAGAAAGCCTCATGGGAGGTCATAGATCATTCGCCTAAAATTCTATGTTGTGTAAACTACGTTGCGTAGCACATTCAGGCTACCCAAGACATTTCGGGGGCAAGATAGGTGAACATATTGAATTCGGGAGAAAGGCATGTTGTGGCATCTTGAATAAAGACAACGGGTGTCGTTTTGTTGAAGGGTGGTTAGAGGAGTTCACATAAAGCATGAATCAGAACTAAGCTATTATATAAAATGCGAAGCCAAACTTGAAGCAGGAACTAGCCATTTGAGCACTATTTCTGGTCACACGGTTCAGCGGACCTGGTGTGAANATGCGAAGCCAAACTTGAAGCAGGAACTAGCCATTTGAGCACTATTTCTGGTCACACGGTTCAGCAGACCTGGTGTGAATGGGGGAATTTCAGCCATAAAGGATACGGCTCAGGTGCCAGAGTACCAGCGATCTGTTGGTGCGCACAACGCTGCGCATTTTCCGCCGCAATTTAGTATATTTTCAAATGTATAGAAGTGGAACTCAGAAGAGCATCTTGGATAGCCGTCGAAAACACTTGAAGAATAACAGTCGTTTGATGAAAATTTCGTCCCTCAGGTAAAGCCAGTCTAACCTAAAACGCTAAGCTTCACCGTACAGCTGTTTTACCTTTATTTGCAGAATTATTTGGCGAAGCTCTTCAGACAGTCTAAACCAGGCTGGTAGTTAAAAACTTGGGCATCTGACTGTAAGTGACAGCAAGTGGCAGGGATGGCACGCTTTGAAACCGATGGCAGTAAAATGCACAAGCTCGAAAGCGCCATCCATTTGGTACCATCCATGATTAGGCAAACTGAAGGAGCAGGGTGACCTAAGAAGTAGGCTTCCCGTCTCTGAAAGAAGAAGGGCCTTTGGGAACGAGCGTCGCACAAGGCTGGAACTGACAGAGGCAGTACAACTCTGTTGTTGGGCAAAATGTTCCTAGAGTTAAGCCATCATAGGACTAGAAAGTCCAGATAAAAAGGTGTTACTCTAGTCCAGTGTGAAGTCCTTGGCATGCAAATTCTCCGCTGTGTTGGTACCAGAAGAAAACAGCGAGAGAGGACCACAAACGTCGAGTTGTTAAAATAATTGGAGCAGGTCGGAAAAAGCACTAGCTAACAAAGATGTGATGTGGAGAAAATGTGGCGGTAGAGAAAGATCGCTATACTGGCTGGGATACTCCTCTTAGGGCAAGGCTTTGAGAAGGTGAGCCTCGATTTTCGGACATTGCTACTCACCAAGAAAGGCACCTTGGAGCCTGCTAAAAGGCAAATGCGAATGATTCATATTTTTGCATCTCGAGCGGTTCAATTTTTAAATAATCTCTCCGGTTGGTGTTAACTAACATCCGGAAGAGTAGTGGGGGTACTTAGTCATGATGAGCCAACCACTGATGATCGAATAATAAGATGCTCACGGTTATAGGAGAACTAGCAACAATAAATGCCGCCATGCTGGCCAGCAGCACCTACCCGAGAGTTTGGTTTGTGGTAATGAGCTTGGAAATATACCAGTGATTTGGTGGTACTGCGTGGGTAAGAGAGAGGGGTGGGATATCCGGCCACCCATATTAAAAATACAAGGGGAGTGCCGTCTTGGCCCAAAATATTTGAGCCATTTGGTGGGCCAAGTGAGAAAGGTATGTCAGATGAATTGAGTGGGTAGGAAGGATGTGGACTTTGGTTTGTCGTGGCCGTCACAGAACCATTAGAAAGTACTGATTGGAGAACAAAGGGTATTCAAACTGGTAAGATGGGTGTTCAGCCTCCCTACGATTTCAGCTAGGCCAGAAAGGGGCTTTTTGTCAGCGCTGTGGGTTTGGAAAGGTGGCGCTTATGGAGAAAGCACCTCAAAACCTAGGGCTTGTGACGATGAGTGACAACATTATACTACCCTGCTCTTCGGGAACAAGTCTGCCTGCAGAAACCCGACTTGTGTGTTTGGTAAGAAGAGTGACGGCAGGGGTATTGCCGGGCCTCTACACAAACTAACCGAGAAAAACCGCACTTTTGCCTGGACTAGTGAATGTGAATCTGCTTTTAACCAATTGAAAACTGCATTGCCAAACCCGCCTATCTTAAACCTTCCAGATACTTCAAAGGTGGCAGGAAGCTTCATCCTGGATACCGATGCCAGTGACGTCGCAATTGGCGCAGCGTTGTCGCAGTTATTCCCAGATGGACAGGAACGAGTTATAGCTTACGGAAGCCGAACCCTGGACAAAAGTGAGAGGCGGTATAGTACCACGCGCCGTGAGATGTTATCCCTTGTGTACTTCGTTCAATATTTCCAACCTTACCTAGTTGGTCGTCCATTCCGGGTCCGCACTGACCATCAAGCATTGCAGTGGCTGAAAAACTTCCGAGACCCCCAAGGACAGGTTGCTAGATGGCAGGAAAAACTACAAGAGTTCCAATTTGAATGCACCTATAGAGCTGGAATACGCCATGGAAATGCCGATGCACTCTCCAGACGCCCCTTTGAAGCGCTTAATACAATGTTTCAGGATCCGATGGTCGAGACAGAGTGGAGTACAGCACAGAGGAATGACCCCTACATTACTTTTATTTACCGCCGACAAGCCCACGGATGCGTGAAACCGGTCAGTAGAGAGATGTCGGGAAAACCCGTTGATGAGCGGATTCTTTGGAATGCGTGGGCCAGTCTAAAAATGGTGCATGGCGTGTTGTATACACAGACTGATGACCAACTGAAGGTAGTCGTCCCAAAAGCGAAGGTAACCGAAGTGATCCGTATGATGCACCAACAATTGGGACATCCGGGAAAATACCGGACGCGGTCTTCCATTTCCTAACGTTACTGGTTGCCGGGACTGCGTGAAGATGTGATCAAGTTTTGCAGAGAGTGCGACCTGTGTTCGCGGATAAAGTCACCGACACCATCGGCGAAAGCACCGCTCCAGCCCATAGAAGTGCAAGGACCAAACCACCGTATCGGGGTCGACGTCGTTGTTACGGCTGTCTGCTTTCTGAATTTGAGTCACGCGTGCCAATCAAGGAAAACGACCAAGAAATCCGAATTCTGGAATCATGGTACTATTTCAAATATAATAATACACATTCAACAAACCTCAACGGATTCTCCTCTGCAGATACCGTAGGGTTACAAAAATAAGGCGGTACAATTACTAGCCTGAGGATAAAGCGCAGATCACTACGCCTCAAAATCGATATCGCCACAACCAAACGGATATCGACGGCGAGCAACCGCAAAATCACAATGTCCGACCAAAGCCCGTAAGAGTTATAACAATAGTTCAGTAAAACAAGGTTTCAGTTCATCTGGTCAAGGGGAATAAATATGGGGATTGGCTGTCACTTGGGGTTGGAAACGAGAGTACACATTTGGCAAGCTGTCTTCTACATCATGTTCTATGGGAAAAAGCCTATGACAAGCCCCATCCTCTTCAACTAGTCGCGCGGTTGCTGGAGATACGGAAGGCTCGGGTGAGGGCAACTAAATACAGGGCGAGTCACCGACGCAGATTTTGATCCTGCTGTAGGTGTGCACGTGTGCAAATATGCCCATATTATCGCATGGGATGCTAGCGTTCCTCGGGAAAGATTGAGATAATAAAAAAGGGTGTAGAGCAAGGGAAGGCAGACCTGCTCAGTTGTTAGGACGGTCGCCACCGGGAACCCGGTGCAAGTCACAGTGGGGAGTCACAGATAGCCGTTTCAACGCAGATGTTGAGATTGTGAAATCGTACTTTTTGTGCCTGACGAGATGAGGACAACGTCCAGAGTCAAGCCGGGAGTAAAGAGAAAAGTTTTGTGGACACCAGCATATCGCAGAAAGTTTGAGTTCAACAGCGATTCACCTGAACGGGCAGGGAAGCCCAGAAATGGGAGAGACGACTGGATAGGGTGTTAAGGATTACCGATCTATAGTTTTGCCGATTAATGGATCTAGATCACTTCCAACAGCGGTGTAAAGGCGTAAAGCTAGTCGATCAGAACGGACTTAGTTTTGGGATTCTCGGATAGTTTGGATCAGCTGCGAGAAGCTGAGGTGTGAATGGCTGAATCACGTGGACAAGGAATTACGCGGGATCCCAGGGGGCTAAGTAGTCGGGAAACGTCCTTGAAAAGCGTAAGATAGGACGGACGATTAATCTAAGCAGCTGACGTAGGTTGTACGTTATATGCGGCTGCAGTAATTACAGAGGCGAATACAAATGGGCCGAACCTTAGAACGAAACTGATTTTCAACAGTGAATGTTTTGGTTTGTGGCAGCTTGGGCAAGACTGCATTATACTAGACATAAAGCGCACGGCTGGGCCTATTGTACGAGGGGCCTGGTGCGACTTAGACAACAAAGTTCAAGTGCAAGGAAGGCTAGTCAAGGAAGGGCATTGCCGCAGCCAAAATGGACAAACCGGCTTTGTTCATGGAAAGCCCGAAAATAAGCCAGGAACAAGGGACAAGTAAAGGGCGCTATATTTTTGGCTTCCAAAAAGCGTTTAGTTGGGTTTCACAGAGTTCATTCTTCAAAATTAGACCTGTGAGATTCAGAGAGAAGCCAAGGTTTTCGTTTGCACTAGAACGTCCCACAGGAACTTGGGTCCACTTGGTCAACCGGGGTTTCTGAAAGATCCATCAAGGGACCAGTCAGATGAAGGGCCCACGTTAGCGACCATTGTAATACGCCCTCAGGTCCGTCGTTGATGTGGTGTCATGAGATTTCGGCGTCACAAGGCAGTGGTCACTGGACAGCCAACTTCCGATGAACTACGAAATGTGTCAATATATTCATCAGTTTCCGTTCCCGCGATTCACGTAACTATACCTAGTTCAGACACTAGAGATAAATCTAAAAGTGTTCGTTCATATAGTACTATGCAGTAATTACCGTCAGCCCACTTAAAAACATCACCCTCATCGGTGAGGACTAGCAACTTTCCACACTTTCATCCATTAACCTCAAAACTGCTAGCATGGTTGGATAATTCCGAATTCGAGTCCAAAAACCTCTGGCTTCGTACATGAATGGTGCAAACTTGTCATCCTCACTGCACCATGAGAAATCGACCCAAAATCGGCATTCGCCATCCTACGGATGATCCGACGCACCTTCCCCCGTTTTACTCGTATGGACTTCCAAATACTCTATGGGACCCACGTCAGACGCTCCTGGAATACGCTAACCAAGTTGTCTACTCAGGACGCACGAAGGACGTCACCCTCATTGAGTGTGTCCAACGAGCCGCCACGAGAATGGTTGCCGGCCTCAAAT